ACTAAAATGCATTTTGGGACTTATTCATTGCCAATTTCCACCTGCTAGTTAATTCCGTCCAATCACACAATGCTATCAAGCTGGTAGGATGATGGGAACTAGCACATGCATTCTCCAATACACACAAAGCATTGGGCAGAAAAACATTAGCACAGCATCCTTTGGCAGTTTAACGTGCTTGGAGGAGAACGTGTCTGTTACGAGAGTGGGCTCTCTCCCCAAACCTGCTGCCTCGCCAAACTCCGGACACCACTGAAACCAGAAAAGTGCAGGTTTATTTTCTTCAAAGGCTCAATCACAAGTTGGGACGTTGGGTTCAGGGACGAGCGTACGCCAAAATAATAAACAACGACTAATGATCACAACGCAAAACTAAAAATAAAACAAATGTATAGATGACTTCTCTAACTCCTTACATTACAATGACACTCATCCTCTACTTTCCCGAAGTTCACAAAGTCTAATAAAGTGGTCACAAATTCAACAAAACAAGGTAGAGTGTAGTGAAGAAGTGAGAAGGGTCCAGCTGCAGACCTCAAGAGCTCCGCTCTGCTGAGGAGCCAATCAAATTGCAGAACTCAGCTATTTCTGCTCGGAAATGAAAAGCTTCTCAAAACAGCTAGTCATGTAAATGAGCACTGCAAAAACACCATATAAGAATAGAATAAAAACAAGAGATACTTAATTTAATACAGGATTAAAACAAGAGATAAATACAACTAAAGATAAAATCCTGTATTTTCTATGGAAGCCAGTGAAGCGCATATGGTGGAATGTGTTCAAGGTGACGGTATTTTATATTGATTTTGCATTTAGATATGTCACATATTTAGATATTGAACAAATGTTGAATCAGCACAAAATCGATGTGCACAAATAAATCTATTCTGACATCGGATATCAATACTGATACAGAGTAATTTTGTTGTCTGTCTTTGCAAAATAAGTTGGTTTTAGTAAAATAATAATATTTGATGGACAGAAAGAACAGTTGAAGGTAAAGGTAAACAAGGTAATCGTCATGGTGTTACAGACCTTTTATTTTGACGGCTAGTTGCCACGTGTGACGTCACTGGCTCCTGAGCGGAACTAGAGTTCTGCAATTTGATTGGCTCCTCGGTGGAGCGGAGCTGCAGCTGAAGTCTTTTGGAAAGGTTCCGGACTGGTCTGGACAGGTGTTATTCCAGGTCAAGTTAGAGGGGAGAGAGACCTGAACGTCTCTCCAGGGAATGGCTCAGTGACCTCTTTTAAGGAGGGCGCCCCAAGTGGCCAATCACGTACCTGCACATAAAGGAACATACAAGAGGGAAAGCAAACAAATGGCCACAGACAAACACAAAGGAAGACTACTGCATTGAACTAACAGCATCTCACTGCGTGATGGAGGTGACAGAGAGCGAGGACAGTTTCTCTCTTGGACTCCACGGATGGCTGTGGCATCACTGGGGATTGAACATGCAATTTCCCAACATCAGGGCTTAAACGGTTGCACCACTTTGGAAGCCCGGAAGTTGTGATAGAGCATCAGCCTATAGTGTTAATGGGGATGTGCATTCTGACTCATTTTGATGTTCGAGTATCTGCAAGAGTTCATGACATCAGCACATTTATTTTTCGTGGTGGATAAGTAATTGAGGCCGACTCTTCAGATGAGCTGATGAGCTGATGAACCAACTAATAGAGCTGACAAATGTCACGTAGCGTTGAATGCTGATGAGGACTGCGCAGGGTATTTTCTCCTCAGTGGATGATGTGCCAACATGAAGGAAGGGCCTGGGTTCGATTCCCCGGCCGGGCGACCAGGGTCCTTTCAGTGTGGAGTCTGCATGTTCTCCCCGTGTCTGTGTGGGTTCCTCCCACAGTTCAAAGACATGCAGTCAGGCCAGTTGGACACACTAAATTGCCCCTCGGTCTGTGTGTGTGAATGTGTGAATGTGTGAATGTATATGTCTGTGTCTCTGCCCTGCAATGGACTGACAGCCTGTCCAGGGTGTTTCCTGCCCTCTGCCCAGTGACTTCTAAGAGCAACCGTTTACGCCCTGACTTAGATAATGTGTGCATGTGTGTGTTTCTGGACCTAGCTAACATCAGCCGGAGTAGCTAGCCTAGTTAGCGATACAGCTGTGCGACATGCTCACATTCAGGCACCGTACTTTCTCACAAATATGAGCAAAACCCTGACTTTTCACTGAATTGTTGGCCTGGATATTTTCTCAGTCTTACCATGATGAAACGTAGTGAATAGTGATCTCAGTATTTGAATACTGCCACCAAGTACATGAGTGCCCGTGCACATCACTAGTGTTTAGGCACCCTAATACTTAACAGACAATGCACAGTGCAAAGGCACAGTGTGAAAACGTACCGATAACAGAAGTGGCAAGTAGCCATGGTTTTTCTTCAGCTTTGTTTTTTTGCATGACTACATTTAACCTTGCAGGCTGCGACAAAGAGCAGTCTGCATACTGTATTCTCTGTGTCCCCTTGAGCTGTGGTAGAGCCTGCAACATATACATTCTTTTTCTCTTGCCGAGCAAGAACCCCGTAGCTACTTTTACGTGCTCTCTCTCTGTTTCACACATTCTGTCTCTCTCATATTCTCTTTGCCGTGCCCCGTTCTTTCTCTCCCTTCTTCGCTCTCCTATCATCCTCTCTTTCACTGGCTGCTGCATATATATATTTTCCATAGACAGTGATAGAGGAGCCTGCGTCTTGTGCCAGCCCTGGAGTCGACAAGCCTATAAAACGCAGCGCTGGGCTGGCGGAAAACCCCAGAATGATTCACGGCTTTAGCAGTCCCATAAACCCCAGGCTCATCCGTCAGAGAGGGACAGGGCGGCCGGCCCGCGCTCTCTATCCCGCTGCCCTCGCGCTGAGTCATGCCGACATGGAGGGCCTTGGCCAAGTGCTCCGTGCTCTCGTGAAGTTGTTTTGTGGCTCAGCCGCACAGACTTGTCAGTCAAAGCAGCAAAGAGCGTCGCTCCTCTGTGTCTGCAAAAATCTGCAAAGTGCGACGTGCATCTGTGAAAACTTTGAAGGACACTGAAGTCCTCAGAGATGTCCCTGGAGTGCAAATGCTACATAAAGTACTTACTTTGTTTGATGAAGTCACTTTTCATGACCAACTCAAAAAAATACGATTTTTTTGTGCAGCAGTGCTGTGCAAAAGTCAGAGACCGTCCTTAATGTACATATATATCGTGTTAAAAGGTCAATAAGTAGAAGTTTTCAGAAGAGATTTCAATCCACTTGCATAAGGAAGGAGAAAGTCAAAGGAAAATAAGTGGAAAAAATGTGAGTTTCCAAAATTGGAGTTCACAAAATGATTAAAAGCTGCAGAGAGAAATAAACTCCTAGCAACTACCTGGAAGACCTGGTAGATGCCAAAACTGCCCCCATCAGATAAACAGCACTTAAAGCTTTCATCTTTGAGAGAGAGGAGAAAATCAAGCTGCTTCAGATCTGAAAACATCCACAGGTGTTTCTGTCCATCCTTCCACTGTGAGAAGACGACTCAGCGCTGTGGGTCTGAAAGGATGTGTAAAGAAGAATATTTGCTCTAGAACACCAAACAGGACATCTGAGATCTGTTGAATCAGATTTTATGGACTGATGGATTTGTAATTGGGATTATTTGGATGGTGAGAAGCAGGAAATGCAACCAACTTCTAAGACTGAATTTTGGAGGTGTGAAAAAAAAATCCCTGCAGATTTCTTTAAACAACTTAAAGTCTCTTGAAATGAAAGGAACCTATAATAAAGGCAAATAGTGGACACACCAAATACCTAATTTATAAATGCATAATATTTAAAAATTAATATTATATTGAGGTGTTGAGGCATGTGTGTAATTTTCTCTGAAGTATGTTTTCTCTATTTTTCCTGATGCCAAAAAATGAAAACATGCGCTTGAAGGCTGTTTTGACTGGAAGTAATATAAAGGAAAAAAATGAAGCTTTTATAATCTCCATAGAAAAGCGCTGACCAATAGAATGAGATGCTCTGTAGCAGCCGGACATGTTTTAGGACTCTAAAGTCACAATGCCAAGCATGTCCAATGCCAAGCATGGGCTAGAGGGGTATAAAGCCCCCCATCATTGGGCTGTGGAGCAGTGGAACTGTGTTCTCTGGAGTGATGGAGCTCCATTTAACTCCATTCATCCTTTGGGATGAATCAGAATCATCTGAAACTGTAAATCCGAAACTGTTTTCTTTGGAGACTATGACTGTTTTGCCTGTCTGTGTCCTGCATGGGTTTAAAAAATACATTTTAGGCCAAAAAACTTCACAAAAAACAGTGTCTTAGTCATCAAGCAGCATATTCGTAACCATTTTGTGTAAGAACTTTCTTTGATGGAGCTTTTTGAAGCCAGATGTCTGGTTTCTGTCACCACCTTTGTGAACAATTCTTTAGAACGGAGCATTCAACCACTCAATGTCTTTGTTTAGCTATTTAATTATACAGACATTCTGAGAAATGGTGGATTTTCCCCTGCATGATCGGTCACAGAAATAACGTTTAAATACTGATGTTGTGAGTTTGTGGTCACACTTGCACCACACTGGCTCTTTCTTGTGAAATGAGGCCTTCGCAACTCGGTGCTTCCTATGTGTCACAGTTCAGGCTGCTGTAGATGAAGTGCAAAGAGCAACATAAGTGTGAAGTATGAGCCACCGCTTCATTGAAAATAGTGGTTTTGTTATGAACTGAAATGTTTTAGGACTCATTTTTTTATGCAGTGTACCTCAATTTGTTTTCTTCATTTTTTGTTTTGTTTTTTTTTTTAAATGTCCTTGAACTAGGATTATATAAAAGACTCAAAGGGGATTGGTGGGCTGTTATTTTTGGCTAAACTTGTCTTTCTTCATATTTTAAAAATGAAAGTCTTTGAAATAGATCGATATAAATGATTCAGAAGGAATGTGAATTCCTGTTCAGCTCCCAGTGGCACTGATGTTCGTTTGTGTGTGTGTGTGTGTGTGTGTGTGTGTGTGTGTAGGTTCTGCGGGGACTGTCTTCAGCCTTGTCTGCAGGTGACGTCCCCTCTCTGTCCCCTGTGCCGCATGCCTTTTGACCCAAAGAAAGTGGACAAGTCCTCCAGTGTGGAGAAGCAGCTCTCCTCTTACAAAGCCCCCTGCCGAGGGTGCAGCAAAAAAGTGAGTCTGCGCTAACGTGTGCACACGTACCGAAGAGAGTCCGCTAAAATTTGTCCTCCTGTCTTTGAGGAGTATTTCTGTTGAGTTCTGTGTTATTGTATTTGAATGCTGCTGTGTTCAAAGCCTTTACCTCAGAAACCAAAAGCCACTTAAATAAATTTGCCTTTGATATCATTTTCATGCTTCCCGTTTGGGTTACATGCATAGTTATTACACACATATATATATAGTACTGTGCAAAAGTTTTACACATCTGAGAAAATTAGAATTAAAATGCTATTTTTCTGGACAGTAAACATTTGCACAAATATTTAAACGAATACAGATATCATTAATGCAGTGTATTAAATTAAATTAATTAAATTAATACATAAATGAATACATTAAATTAATACAGTCAGTGTGTTCGTTTAGCCAAACCTTTTCTTATGGTAACCCAGTATTAACTGTAGTTCCAACACCTAGTTTGGCTAATGAATACTTCAGTGTAATAAATTAAATCTGCACTATGTAAGATTTGGGGATTTGGAGAACTCTCTGGTAAAATGTGTAATTACATGCAATTGCATGCGGAGAGAACTCAGTCAGAACTTGGTGAAGAACGTGTCTTCTGAGGATGTGAGTGAATTACCTGCTATTGTCATCCTATTTAGATTTTTTTCCATTTGAGACCTAAACAATGAGTCGGCCTTTCTTTTTGAGTCCGTGTTGTGTGTGTGATGTTAATACGTAAAGAAGTGTGGTCCAAAAAACTCCGTCAAAATCCGAACCGACGCCTCTGACTTATGAATTATTGTTTCAGGCTTTACAGGGCGACTCGCAGCAGCGCACGCACCATATTTCTTCTCCTGACTTGGTAATGCTGCTGCTTTAAATTTTGATGAAAAATCATACAAAGCAAAGCTTTAAGTGTGATGGTGATGGAATTGAACAAATCTGAGATTTAGAGGCTAGGGGCTTTCAGGAGGCATCTGGAGCCACACTTCAAACTAGCTCACAACACAGCAATGACTTTTCTGAAAATAAGAAATTCTTGTTACTTTTTTACTGTATTTGTGTTTATTTGCTTCTGTTCTAAAATATATGGAGTTTTTTGCAAGCTAAAGCACATTTATTGCCAAGATAACTGGTTTTAAACAACGTGCCTTGATGCCTGAGAATTCTGCACAATACTGTACACATATAAGGTCAAGCAAAAGTGTGAGTTCACCATAAAACATGGAAATAACTATCAAAACACTCTAAAAACAGTCATACCATGTACCACAGGTTCCCAGCCATGGTCTTGGAGCACACCTGTTCTGCACAGTGTAGTATTTTCCTTCTCTAACACACTCAGTTCAGCTCAGGAAGGGCTTGTTAATCAGCTGATTACTTGGATCAGGAGAGTTGGGGGCAGGGTAAATGTGCGGGGCAGGGGGGGGTTGCTCCAAGACAGGCATGATTGGGAACCTGTGCCAATAAAACTGGTGAATATTGCATTCTCACATTGAAGATGGAAAGCAAATTGCACTCTGTCTAACCTTCTTCGTCATATTCCAGGTCACACTGGTCAAAATGAGGTCACACATTTCATCTTGCACAAAGGTTCAGGAACAGATGGCCAACTGCCCAAAGTTCATGCCCGTGGTCCCCACTTCACAGCCTATTCCCAGGTGAGCATCAGAACTGCTTTAGAAGTAAATGAGGGAATCTTTTACTGTTATTTTTAAAGGTGTAATGATTTCAATAGAATTGTTAACAATTTGAAAATGTCTGTTGAAAACAGGGTCCTGAAATTTACAACCCCGATCTCCAATCTCGCCCGTCAGTCTCCTTTCAGAGTCTTCTACCGTTTGCTTTCTTTTGTGCCAACTGCTGTCAATTCTCAATACTAGGCAGAATAAAATGGGCGCGGCTTATGCACACTCCCACACTCCAAAGGCTGGGATTTTGTTTTCAACCTGTGGGCTGTGGTGGTACTGCTAGGGTGGCGTTAACAGCCTTTTTTAAACCTCGTTTAACTTCATTACACTATAAAGATAATAATCATTTTAAGTGTGACAAATGTTGTTGTTGTGATAATTATTTGCTAAAATAAAGCATCAAAATGACTTAAATATTTAAGACAAGCTCAGTGATTGGTCTGACAAAATGCATGACTGCTGTAACTGGCATAGCTAGTTAGATATATTTTCAGTGCCAGTCAGTGGAAAACGCTCTCTTTCTGACTGTATGCAATTCATTCATTATGGATAAATGTCTACAAACAGAAAAAATTGTGGATTTTTAAAATATTTGTGTGTACTATGTTGCATGATTACACTGTCAGGTAAAATTCAATAGACTGAAACACTGATTATTGTTATAATTGCTTGCATTTGAAATGATCAGTCTGGATAAATCTTTTTTTGGGCCACAGAAACTTTCAAAGTCAGTCATGTGAGCTGCAAGCTGCAAAAGGTTGGGAACCTCTGTTATAGAGGTGGCAGTTTTTGGGGCTTATTTTTTTAACGTTACATTGGTATCACTTTGGTCAGTTGGCACAGTGTAAAGTATATGTGTAAGTCCCACAAATTTCCCACAAACTCCCACAAATAGCCCAGACTAAGAGGTCATAGCCCAGATTTTCACATCTGCATTAAGCCACAGACATTCAATAACAATAACAACACACAGCATGGCCGTGTCTGTTAGCAAGTTTTGTTGTTATTTTAATGTGATTTCTCTTAAGTGGATTGGAACCGGACTGCTATTACTGAGGGAGCTCTGTGTTCAGCCAAATACAGAATACCATTCACGCCATAATTATTACTGTCAGACTGTAAAACTACACACACTGCAGATTCATACTGGATTAAAATCACTCCACAATTATTACTGTCAGACTGTAAAACTACACACTGCAGATTCATACTGGATTAAAATCACTCCACAATTATTACTGTCAGACTGTAAAACTACACACACTGCAGATTCATACTGGATTAAAATCCCTCCACAATTATTACTGTCAGACTGTAAAACTACACACACTGCAGATTCATACTGGATTAAAATCCCTCCACAATTATTACTGTCAGACTGTAAAACTACACACACTGCAGATTCATACTGGATTAAAATCCCTCCACAATTATTACCGTCAACTGCAATTTCCAAAATAGTCAGCCATTGCTGTAATAACAGCTTTGAACATTTATACATTAATTAAAGTTTCCACTAATGGACAGACATTTAGTGAGTGTTTTAGGGTTTTAATTGCTGCCTATTTGCTACACTTTTTAATATTTTTTGTGTTTTTTGTCATTAGTATATGTGTGTGTTTGTGTATATTTGTGTGTGTGTGTGTGTGTGTATGTGTGTGTGTGTGTGTGTGTGTGTGTGTGTGTGTGTGTGTGTCCGACAGCGTGTCTGAAAAATGAAAAACTTCTCGAATCTGAATTTCAAAGCCGTTTGTTACTCCGGGAGCGTGTAGTCCCGGAGAGCGCTGAACGCTGCAGAGAAATGCGAGTCATAACTAGCATTTCCCCACAGGCCCGCGTTCTCTTTAATGTATCAGCACAAAGGAGAACAACAACACAAACTCTGCAGGCTCTACATTCTCAAAACACACTCACACACACACACACTCCACATCAGCTCTGTTCCGCTGACACAGGAGAAACCAGCACATTCCCACTCCATGCCTGGGGACCCCCAACCCCACCCTGCACTACTTCACATTTTCTCTGCTTGGACACACGAGCTAAACAGTGTGTTACAGTAGGGAAAACTCTAGACTCCATGGGCCATCCTGGATAAAAGCCCTGTTTGAGCAGGATTAGTCTGTAATGGTCAGTTTGGAGTGATTTTGATCCAGTATGAATCTGCAGTGTGTGTAGTTTTACAGTATGACAGTAATAATTGTGGAGCGATTTTAATCCAGTGTGAATCTGCAGTGTGTGTAGTTTTTACAGTCTGACGGTAACAATTGTGGAGTGATTTTAATCCAGTATGAATCTGAAGTCTGACAGTAATAATTGTGGAGCGATTTTAATCCAGTATGAATCTGCAGTGTGTGTAGTTTTTACGGTCTGACAGTAATAATTGTGGAGCGATTTTAATCCAGTGTGAATCTGCAGTGTGTGTAGTTTTACAGTCTGACAGTAATAATTGTGGAGTGATTTTAATCCAGTATGAATCTGAAGTCTGACAGTAATAATTGTGGAGTGATTTTAATCCAGTATGAATCTGAAGTCTGACAGTAATAACTGTAAAGTGCTTTTGATTGAGGTTAGCTTGTGGGATGATTAGTTGATCAAAAATTTCATTCCAACTCATCCCAAAGGTATTGGATGGAGCTCCATCACTCCTGAGAACACAGTTCCACTGTGCCTCGCTCCCCTAATGGGGGGCTTTACACCCGTGCAGCTGATGCTTGGCATTGGGCGTGGTGACCTTAGACTTATAGTGGTTGCTCCAGAGCATCTAATTCTATTGGTCAGTGCTTTTCTATGGAGATACAAGCTGTCTGTGCAGTTAGTTTGTGTTTGTTCACAGTTCTTTCACCTTTCCCATACTGATGGATGACAAAAGGGTTTTCTATACATGTTTTGTCATATTTATACCTCAAGGAAACAGAAACTCAAACAACAAAGCACATTTTTTAGTTCTTTAAGGCTTCATCTAAAACAAGAGTATAGCATTTTTTTCTTAGACGTCTGATGGGATTTTGAGGTTTGTACGTTTTTAAACAGTTTTCTGTATTTATAATTCCTTGAAATGGGGAACAATGGGGATCAAAAGGTGCCAGAAATTCCAGAAACCTCTTTACCTACACTGTTAGAAATAAAGGTTCTGTGCAGGTACATATCTCTTCATCAAGATACATACAATGTAAATGTTCCCTCAAAGGTACAACAGTGGTTTTAAGGTCTAATTGTGAAGCTTAAATAAGTTTTTCCAGGTGAAAAGTTCATATTTGTACCTTTTCATAACCGAATGTTTTAAAACAGAACAGTAAAATAAAAGCCTGGAGACGAGACGGGGTGTGTGGAGTCAGTACAGCTTAGAAAATATCATTTCAGTGGATTATGGTTCAGTTATGTTCCTTGACTAAAGGTACTGAGATGTACCCTTGAGGGTCCTACCCCAGTGACAAGAGGGGTACTGCCCCAGAGACAGTTTAGTACCTTTATTTCTGAGAGTGTACAGCTCCGTAAACCCTTGTCCTTCTTTAGTTTTTTCCCATGGTCAGGCTAATGGACACAATATAGTCTATCCGTGTTAGTTTCCAGAGGCAGAACGCTCTGGGCCTCTTTCAGGCTGGTACTGGTAGCTGGACAGATCTTGTATCAAACACAGTGAAACTGACAAGTTAAAGATCCCTGCTTTCCTGGCAGTCAGATGTTTGGCTCTGGAGAAGAAATTGTTCCCATCCAAAAGTTTTTTCAGACATTCTCAGTGGATTCACAATATACTAATAGCCAGCCCACCAGCATTAACAGGGTAATTAAAAAGAACATAAAACTTACAGCTTTTGTTTACCACCATGGCATCGAATCAGAATGAGATTTATCATGTTCCCATGTTTTAGGGGTTGCTAATCCACTGCCATATTCAGGTGAAATGATGTGTGCTTCCTTTCCATGCGATTAAGAGCTCATTACAGCCCAGGCCTTTTGGATCAGTTTGTTCAGATTTGAAAGTGCAAAGTCGGCCTAAGCCCCACATCACAGCCTGGTTCAGATGCTGTGTGGATGTTGTTATATGTGCGTGCAGAATTAGTGATTTGTTCCCCAGCTGATCCATCACAGTTGTCAAGCTGGAGGAACGCAGCTGAAAATGTAAGAGCTGTAGAGTGAACTGCTGAAATGTGCAATATTATGGCCATTGTATTGTTGTATACACGGCTGTTGTAGGGGAGAGAGGTAATGAGATTTATTATTTTCTGGATAATTTTAAAAGTGTTTGATCAAAATTGTTTATTTTTATACACAAGAAACCTGCACATCTCTACACAAATGAAAATATAGGCCCAATCCCATTTCTTATTTTTACCCCTACCCCTTGTTTTCGAGTGTCACTTTGCCCCTTGGAACTGAGTTACAAGGGGTAGTGGTTGAAATCTTCCCCTATGAAATGGGACCCTCAAATAAAAAGAGCATTACTTCATTAACAGCTACCAGCGCTGCTCTGTAGGCGACCCTGCCAGTCTGCAGTGACAGCAGAGGAGGGTAAAGTTCAGCTCCTCATTGCTGGGCTTTAGTTACATTTAGGGCATCATATGATCTTCAAAGAGGGGGGCAATTATTTATTATCACCCACCACTAATTGTTCAGTGATAAGAAGCTGAAGTCAGATATTCACCAGCTTCTTGTTTTAATTTTTCCATTCCATCTTAAATGGTGCAGCAGTTCTGATGCCTGAGGTGCCCAAATGTAACATCTGCACCATTTAAGGTGGAACTGGTGGATCTTGATGTTTTTTCTTTTTTCCTTCATATCACTCTGTTTGGAATTTGCCTCTGAAAAACCTCAATTTGGAGGGCCATGTAGCCCTAACACTTCGCCCTACCCCTCTATCTCAAATATTTGACATTTGGTTAAAGTTATCTGGCTAACTAAGAAAACCTTTGGGTATTTTATAAAGCAGAGTTTTTTAGTTAGCCAGATAACTTAGGCCAAAAGTCAAATCTGTCCAGTAAGAGACGGATTAATGAACGTTCCCGCTGGACGGTCCCCACTTTAGGCTTAAATTATTCAGTTCACTTAGAAACTCTGATTTATTTGTATAGTGTCCAAAGTTAACTCCGAGTAGTGTAATGGAACATTTCTCTGTATAAATGGAGGCTTTTCTGGAGCTGAGGGCTGTAGGCTGGGTCCTAGTGGATGAAAAGCTGACACTCTTTTCCTTGCTCGCAGCAATATTCCGAACAGATCGACATTTGTGTGCCCCTACTGCGGAGCTCGAAACCTGGACCAACAAGAGCTGGTGAAGCACTGCATGGAAAACCACCGCAACGACCCCAACAAAGTGGTGAGTGCAGAGATGACCACTTAGCCTGAAGCTGGTTAGAAGATCTCCTTTCACTCACTCAAAATTACATGTAGAGCTGTTTTGTACAAAAAAAGGCCAAAGAAAGAAACTTTGTGGGTTGATGTCTGAGTGTGTTGGCTTAACCACTTCCAAAGCTCTCCTTGATGAAGCCCAGTATTTACAGTTACCATCCAAGACTTATCTAATGTATCCTTGGCTAAATTTTATCAGGTGTGCCGCTAATGGAATTTAACAAAGCCCTGAGTTCAGAGAGGTCATGAACCAAACCTAGCTGTAAAAAAATTAAATGTTAGAATGATAAACAGAGCTGTAGATGATTCTAAAGTGATTGAGAGAGATGGATAACAAAATCTCCACATTTATCTTAATTCTGTGACGAGGACTAAGTGATTCTGCTCCAGAGCTCACAGTGAGAAGGCTGATGTAAATGTCCATCAGATGGATGGATGCAAAACTGTTCTTGCATCAACATTCCTACAGTGTGGGAGCTGATAAATGTTCCATGGTCTCATTTATGGCCACAGTGTTCAGCCAGTCCAGTCATACACTGTAATGTTTGTTACTTTCTGTGTTCAGTTAAGGATACATCAATAAAGAAAGAGCATAATGTGACCAAACTATTGCTGACCACACTATTGGAACCACACTACCACTACATGACCAATCACAGTCAGGCGTAAGACTCAGAATAAACATTGTAGTGGTTAGGACCAATCACAGTCAGGGTTAGGTTGCCGCACAAACTAAAATAACTGAGTTGTTTTGGCCAAGAATACATCATTTTGCTTCGAAAGGTCATTTTTTTTTTTGACTTACACCGATCAGGCATAACATTCTGACCACCTCCTTGTTTCTATGCTCATTGTCCGTTTTATCAGCTCCACTTACTATATAGGAGCACTTTGTAGTTCTACAGTTACAGACTGTAGTCCATCTGTTTCTCTGCATACTTTGTTAGCCCCCTTTTACCCTGTTCTTCAGTGGTCATCTACAAGTTGGACTGACAGGGTAGGAGTGTCTAATTGAGTGGAGCACTGCAGTAACACCGACGTGGTGGTGGTGTGTTAGTAGTGTGTGAGTGGATCAGACACAGCAGTGCTGCTGGAGTTTTTAAACACTGTGTCCACTCACTGTCCAGTCTATTAGACACTCCTACCTTGTCAGTCCACCTTGTAGATGTAAAGTCAGAGACGATAGCTCATCTGCTGCTGCACAGTTTGTGTTGGTCATCCTCTAGTCCTTCATCGGTGGTCACAGGACCCTGCCCACAGGACGCTGTTGGCTGGACATTTTTGGTTGGTGGACTATTCTCAGTCCAGCAGTGACACTGAGGTGTTTAGAAACTCCAGCAGCACTGCTGTGTCTGATCCACTCGTACCAGCACAACACACACTAACACACCACGTCAGTGTTACTGCAGTGCTGAGAATGATCCACCACCCAAATAGTACCTGCTGGTCCATGGGGGTCCTGACCACTGAAGAACAGGGTAAAAGGGGGCTAACAAAGTATGCAGAGAAACAGATGGACTACAGTCTGTAACTGTAGAACTACAAAGTGTACCTATATAGTAAGTGGAGCTGATAAAATGGACAATGAGTGTAGAAACAAGGAGGTGGTCACAATGTTATGCCTGATCAGTGTATATTGCTGGCTTTAGAGGTCTCAGAATGAAGGATGATGGGATTAGGACCGGTCACTGTCAGGGAGGAGGTCTCAGAATCAACAACACAGTGATTAAGACCAATTGCAGTCAGGGTTAGGTTACCGCACAGACATTGTTGTGCTTCAAAGTATTGTTTTTATGTATGATGTATACTGCTAGCTTTAGAGTCACATTTGAGCTGTAAGTAAGTGTGACTTCTGTGGTCAGGTGTGTCCGGTGTGTTCTGCCATGCCCTGGGGTGACCCCAGCTACAAGAGCTCCAACTTCCTGCAGCATCTCCTGCACCGGCACAAGTTCTCCTATGACACATTTGTGGTGAGAAGCAACACACAAACGCACAGGGCTAAAGGAGAAAGCTAGTTAGCTGAAATGGGACACTTTAGTAATCAGTTAAGGCTGTATGGACTAGCATGACCGCAGTGTTTTAGTTGTATTTTTCACCACTGTCCATTTTGATTACTCCTTACTTCCAATCTGCAAGGTTTCCATATTGGTATCAGAAAAAGATATGACCTCTATTAATGAGTATAAAACTCGAACAGTGTTAATATTACATACGTTCTTGCTCTATTACAATGAATAGTCAACTAATTTATTAAGAGTTAATCTTTATACTTAAATAGCACACACAGCACACTTAAGCAGTTAAGTGTGTAATAAATAATTAATTTGTAGAGTCTGAAATGTTTCCTTTTTTAACTGTGTTTGTTCATGCAGGACTACAGTATTGATGAAGAGGCAGCACTGCAGGCAGCACTGGCCCTCTCTCTGTCTGAGAACTGAGACCCAGCAGCCTCCACCAATCAGCAAACGCCTCCCCCAACTTCTCTGCCAATCAGCACCATCCACCCGACCTCCACTTCCAATCAGCATTACCTCCCCCGACTTCTCTGCCAATCAGCACCACTTCTCCCAAGTTCTCCACCAATCAGCACCACCTTCCCCATCTTTTCCGCCAATCAGCACCATCTACCCTAACTCCTTTTCCAATGAGCATCACCTCCCCAGCTTCTGCACCAATCAGTACCATCCCCCCAACTTCTCCACCAATCAGGACCATTTACCCTAACTCCTCTTCCATCAGCATGCCCTTCCCCAACTTCTCCACCAGTCAGCACCACCTCCCCAACTTCTCCACCAGTCAGCACCATCTACCCTAAGTCCTTTTCCAGTGAGCACCACCTCCCCAACTTCTCCACCAATCAGCACTATCTACCCTAACTCCTCCTCTAATCAGCATCACCTCCCCCTAGTCCTTCCCCAGTCAGCACCATTTTCCTCAGCTTCTCCGCCAATCACCCGCCTACTCATCCATCTCCTCCACACTGTGGCCATATGAAGGATGATCTTTTAGATCCTCTTTTAACCCCAACACCCCCTTTCATTCACTTCTCTCGCTCTTTCTTTCTTTCTTTCTTTCTTTCTTTTCTTCCTTTCTTATAGTCCGTTCCCTCTGTCTCTCGTCCTACCTCTCTCTTTCTCTCTGTTTCAGCAATCTGTGCACCAGGTAGCTGCTCCACTGCTCTGTACCTGGCGTGCCAGTCACATGATGCTGGTCACATGATCTCACATTATCTGGGCAGTAACTGCTGTAGTCAATAACAATAGCATGACTTCACGACTTTCTTATCTTTGGAATATAACACAAAAAGCGTGGATTCACGTTTATGAAGGAAAAAAGGATGGACATCATCATCAATTCCGTTTCACTTCCACATTTTCCCCCTTTCTTTCTGTGTATTTTCCCTCTCTTTCTCTCTCAAACATGGACAGATGGCGGCTCGAGCAGGAAAAGCCGTCACATTTCTTGCACGTTCTGCTGGATGAGAGCGTTATTACGGGCTTGGATGATGTGTTTGTGTTGGCTGCGGTCACTAAGCTGGCACTGATGGCCTTGTGCCAGCCACCCCGTTATTACCATGGTGACTGATTTCATGATGAATGCCTAAGACTCATATTCAGCACTGAGAGAAAGAGAGAGAGAGAGAGAGAGAGAGAGAGAGAGACAGAGCAGCTCTCCAGACTGTACATTATTTTACTGTGAGCAGGAAGAAACCGAGTTAAATGTTTATAATATACACTGGGAGGTTTTACCTTGTGGGGATGATTATTCAGCTTTAGGCAATACCGGTACAGCACAGAGAGAAGGAGCTGATTCAGTGTTCACCCTGTCCCGACACCGACATGTTCTGTTTTAGGCCGTCACAAAACAATCTCTCTCCCCCACTTTTTTTAAATCGTCGTGGATACTTGCACTTCTCATGGTTTTTCTACATGACTGAATTCTAGTACTGATGTTGTTTTATAGTTCTCTGACAGGATACTAGTACTGCATTTACTTTTCTCTCTGCTCTTAACTGGTTACCTTGCTACAATAATATTTTTTATGAAGCATCAGATTAGAAGAAAATATATATTTTTGGAAAAACGTTTCAGTTTCAAATGGTGCACTAATACTGAGGAAGTACACTCGTTGAACTCCTGGGGATGTGTTCATTTGTTTTACCTTCTTTTTATATTGGAGGTCAAGGAAAGACTGCGGAGGGCATGTAGTCGCGAAGCTCGACCACTAGGTGGCACTTGGCTATAAGCGTTAGCTTCATGGGAGGGCAAGCATGAACCACAGTCATTCAGAGCCCAGATTCGTGTGTCTATAAAGCTTGCATGATCGTTCCTAACCTTGTATAGTGTTGACAGATCTCTGATGCGGGTTATGGACGTTGTTGTATATGAACATTGACTGTTTTGCTTTCATACTTGTGGATTTGTCACAAAAATGAAAGGATTAGGTGTGGTCAGGTGTTAGCCAGTGCTGCTGTATTCTGCTTGGTGGTGCTGGAGACTTGATTAGCTCTCTTGGCAACAGAAGGCAAGGCCTTTAGGGTTGGGCTCAACCCAGGATCAGGCAAAAGCCTGAGTCTGATTAGAACTCACAAGGCCTTGATTTATTGTGTTCTGATGAATATTGAGGCATTTCAAACTAGCCTGTATATGGTATTCATATTAAAGGGACATTCCAGTCTACAACTAGCTTATGTTATCTGTCTGATTATGTAGTGTTGTGTAGTGCAGCACCTCTTGGCCTCATTGGTTTAACAGAATTCCCACTTTTATATCATTCCTTTTCTTCCTCCTTCACTGTTGTCTCACAATGTCCTTCATCCCCCTGATCTTAAATGAGATTTCCATTGATTTTCAAAATTTCTGCATAGTTAAGTGGGTAAGATGTAAACAAAGCCGTTCAGAGTGGTTTGGTGTAAAATGCTCCGTTCTAGAGAAACTTGCTGAGTCAGAATTGTTCACAGTGGTGGCGATAGGAACCAGACGTCTGAAGAGTTTAAAGCCAGTTTGAGTTGTCAAGTTTCTCTAGAATGAAGCATTTAAAAGTGGGTACTCTCTGAATGACTGTTGACCTTGAATTATATGGAAATTTTGCAGATGGATGAGATTAGTTTTAGCATGAGGAGGTGAGGTGATGTAATTATTACTGGTCAATCTCAGTAATTGTGTTCCCCTCTTAATCAGGTATATCAGGCATTTGTACAGATTTGATGCTCCCGTGTGAGTAAAGATTCCAGTGGCTTTCACCTGTTATAAAATGAACCATAGAAATAATAGCATTTTCTTGTAATATCTCTGGCCTGGATCAATCAAATACATATTGTATTACACTGACAACAGTGGTTTTCTGTGCTGAATTATGTTGAATATTGGTAATGGCAATACGAATGACATAATGCATTCGCTTAAATAGCTTGGTAAATGGTTAGGTTAAACGGAGTTATGATTATTAAAATGTTTGAACATGTTTTCCACTTGAATTTTTGCGTATGGAGCCTTTTTGGTGTGACGTCAGTGCGTAAATTGAGAAGCCGCTCTCATCTCCGTAATTTATACTGGTGTGTCTTATCCGTCCTGAGGTTAAATTACATTTCTCCATACTACTCTACAATCAGTAAAAATCTCTACAAATACTGACCATCAGCTGCTGATCTAGAGACTATTAAATGTATTCGTGATCTTGCACCAACCTTGTTTTCATTGTTATTCAAAGGCTACAAAAGGAATAACTCAGCCTGGCTCACCCCAAAGCACTTGTTGTCTTTTAAAATGCACTTCCACCTTCAAGATACATCATTGTTAAGGAGCATTTTTAGCCTTTCAAGCTGCAAATCTTCCTTTAGAGGCTACTATGGCCCTGCTGTAATAGGGGTGTAGGCATATTTACAACACGTAGCGATAGTTATATTTTTCATTTTGGCTGGAGTGTCCCTTTAAGAGGAGCTTGGAAAGGTAATGACTGGGAAAATGTTTGTTACTGGCGGACCCTTTTCTGCTCATCTCTCCAGCATATTTAATTTAGCTTTAGTTAATCAAACTTCCCAAGCGTGTCACAATCGTATCGTATTATGTCTGTTTAAATTGATGGCACAGTTCTGAAATCAATTTGTTCCCAGCAAAGATTTGCAGCCTGGCCGCCTGCAGAGAAGTGACTCAACGTGAATGCAATGTATTTGGAAAAATGAGAGAAAAAAAAAAAAAGAATTCATTGCTGTGAGATATACAAGATATTTACTTCTTGCTCTTTGTAATCATTCGGAGTGCTTTTTAATCATTTAGAGTGATCACACTTGATTTCCTTTAAGAAAAGCCTGTAAGTGGCTTATTCTTTAAAGAGCACTTGGTTCGTGTTGGTCTGTGGTGTTTTATCTCGCTTAAAGAATACAGTGTTTGTAATTTGACGTGTACATGTGCTGATAAGGAGGTAGGAGCTTCACTGTGAGCTCTGCTGGAACTGCCATGTGTGAAGCCCATAGGATTTACTGGCTTTGTTTGGTGGAGTTTGTTAGCTGATGCTCTGCTTTTTAAGAGGGTGTTAGGGGGAAAAATCTGAAAAAAATTGTTGTACATATAAATAGCAGGCTTAAGAGTTTTTGCCTCATTATTGTGGCGTAGGCTTAAATCCTAATGAAGGTGGGATCACCTTCGTTTTTATGAAGCAGCATGTTAAAAAACATTGCACCTTGACTCAAATGTCTTGAAGAATGAGTAGGAATTTTGTTCCAGTGTTTTACTTTGGCTAAGTACTGCCAATTGTGTTTTACAGCAGTCACAAAAGTGTGTTACATTGTTGTTCTATGGAAAAAGGGAGGATAAAACGGAAGGTTGGTTTTTGGTGAGAATGCTGCTGCACAAGTAGCTGTCGTTTTTCTGTGGTGATGAGTTACGTTTGACATTTACAGCCAACGGTGTTGTGGCAAACATCACTCAGTTCCCAAGAATAGTTGGGACAGTGTGTGAAATGCAAATTAAAAACAGAAAGCAGTGATTTGCAAATGCACTCTGACTTGTTTTCAAATGACAGCAGTACAAAGACAAGATATTTAACATCCAATTAATTTTTTATTTTTTATTTTTGACTCTCTGAAATCAATGCTGACACGATCCACAGTGGTTAGGGACAGGAGCAAGTTATTACTAGGAAAGTTGTAAATAAACACCATCCACAAATCCAAGTTAAGACGGTCAGAGGAAGTCGTATGTCAAAAGCATCCAGAAACGCCGCCGACTTCTCTGGGCTCAAGCTTATCTGAAATAGACTAGCATAAAGTATAATTGTGCTTTGTGGTCTGAAGAGTCAACCTTTCAAATTATATAAGGAAATAATGGATGTTGAGTTCGGCCAAAAACAAAAAGGATCCAGATTGTTACCAGCATAAAGTCTGCCATGGAATGAGGGGTTTTAGCGGATGACTTTCTCATCTGTGAAAGCACCATTAAAACTGAAAGATAAATGTACACATTTTTGACGCCATCTTTTTCAGGGACATCCATGCTTATTTCAACATGACTGCGCCAAGAAACAAGTTAAAACAGCATGGCAGTGTAATCAGAGTGCAGGTGCTAGACTGACCTGCCTGCAGTTCAGACATTCTCCCATTGAAAATGTGTAAAACAGAATTTTCACTGCTGTCTGTAATAATTACCATTTCACAAACTGTCTCAACCATTTTGGAATTGAAGTTTGTAAAAAAAAAATATATATATATATAATAATAATAAATAAAACATCTTATTGTTCACACAGGAACGGCCTCTGGAAAAATGCGTTTGATGTGTTTGTGGGTTAATGTTCAGCTGGCATTATGAAAATGCCAATAAGGATTTTATAGAAGCGCATGATGTGGGTTTTATAACCTCATGTACTCATGATGTTTAAGCCTTGAGTGAATTTGGACTGAAAATGCTTCTGAAAGCTTTGAAAGCTTCTCTCGCTGTGTAACTAGGTAACGTCCTGCGACTGATCGACCCATCCCCCCAAACTTTTTTTACTCATTTATTATTGATGCTATTTTCTATGTGTTTGTAAAATACCACGTGCAGATAATATCCATGTTCACAGCTGTAGCATAACATGTAGGTTTTTAAACTTAAACTTTTTGATATTGTACTCCCTTTTCTTCTGTTCTCGTCCCCCCCTTTGAGAATGATCCTGCAAATGTACAATTTTCATGTTTTTTGTAATTCTAACATTGTCACTGTACATCATATACAAGCTTCTGTGTCTCTTGCAATTGTGGGACTGGAATCGAACTGGGTTGGCCAGAGCTGACCGTAAACAGTGGACTATAAATTGACCACAATGCTAGAGGAATCAAGATCACATACCGTATCCCCTGGGACTCATGAATGAACAAGGACTTGCTGGGCGTCAGTGGCTCGGGAATAATGCTGGAATGCGTGAGGAGATGTGCTTTTGGACTTGGAGCCACTGCTTGCTCACCAGGAACCTTTCTCCTTCCTCTTCTATGGGCCTGAAGCAGGTGGAGCTGGGTATTGTACTCCACTGTGGCCAGCTGAGGGCACTGTAGCTGCTAGCAGTGGTTTTTGGAGCAGGCCTGGCCCAGCACCGTGGTTTTCCCTTCTAATTTTAATTAGAGGACCAGCCTCCTTGTGTGGTCAGTGAGAGCATTGATGCGGGACGGGAGAAAAAAGAAGGAGCTTTGGTTCCTCGTCCCAGCATGGAGCCCCAAAACCACACTGGCTCCATCACTGATCTAATGGCTGCAGGGCCTGTATATGTGTGTGTGTGTGTGTGTGTGTGTGTGTGTGTGTGTGTGTGTGTGTGTGTGTGTGTGTGTGCGTGTGTGTGTGTGTGTGTGTGTGTTTGTGGGCACTCCCAATGGATTATGCATTTATGATTAATAAGGATGGTGATGATGATGATGACAATATAACAGTAATAACAGTGATGACTGATGAGATGCTAACAATGACATGGAGTTTTGAAGCTGTAATGCTGTTTAAGGTTTAATAAGATACTTATACAATGTATTTGTAGCAGTTTTCCCCTCAATAAAACCACTGACCCATCCCACTTCAGCCAAGCTCTGTTACTTTAGTGCTTCGATTAAGCTTTTGATTAAGGCTTTAAGGACTGAAACAAACTGCAGTGTAGCCTCTCCCTGAGGCAGAACCCGACACAGGCCGGATGTCTTAATGGGTGCTCTGTCCATTAAACTTTGAAGTAAAACTTTTCTCAAAAATGCTAAGCGTGCATAAAAGCCATTAGGCATCGGACAGCTTGATTCATTTGCTTTGATTGCTTTCATCATTTTAAATGAATCCTTTAAGATGTTTTGCGGATGTTTTGCTTATTGTTCATTCCAGAGTAGTTTCTTGTCATACTTATGATGAGGATGGTGATGAGAACCAGACGTCCAAAGAGTTTAATGCCTCTTAAATCTCCCTCACACAAAGTTATTACATTAAGTAGTTTCTAATACGCATCCTGATGCCTGATACATTGTTTTATGACAAGTTTGAGGCCTAAAATGTATTATTAAAAACACATTCATGTGGAGAGGTACATGCAGGGCATTGTAAGGCTGAATGTATTTTTTCAGATCACCACATTTATCAACATTATATATAAAGAGTCAGAAGAACCTCACTGGTCATTTTGTGTTGTGACCCCTGGTTCCCATCATCACCATTGTAAAGAAAATTGAGTTGGTAAGTTTCTCTAGAATGAAGCATTTCACATCAAACCACTCGGAGTGGCTTTGTTTACATCTCAACCATTGAAATATACAGTAGTTGATCAGCCAGGATGTTTGGTGTCTATGGAAGTCCAGAGAGGCCATGATATAGCTATTATTTTCTGGATTGTTATCTCGAGATCACAAGATAATTAAGTCGTAATCTCAAGATAACGTTTGTTATCTCAAGATCACTAGATAAGCCATGATCTTAAGTTATCTCACAATCACTAAGTTGTGATATCAAGATAATTTTTATCTCTATCATGACTTAATTACCTTGTGATCTCAAAATAACAATCCAGAAAATATAGTCATCACAGTTGTTATCTCAAGATCACGACTTGCTTGTCTAGTAAACTTGAGAGAAAAGTTATTATCTTGGGATCACTAGATAAGTTGTGATCTTGAGATAACTTATCTCGAGATCACTTGATAAATAAGTTGTGATCTCAAGATAATTTTTGTTATCTAGAGATCAGTGAATAATTAAGTCATGTTCTAGTTAAGAACTGTTATCTTGAGATCACAAAGCAGTTAAGTTGTTATCTTGAGGTCATGACTTATTTTGTGATCTCAAGATAACTTTTGTTATCTCAAGATCACAAGATAATTAAGTTGTGATCTCAAGATAACAATCCAGAGAATGCCTCTGCCTCATGGCCTCTCTGGACTTCCATGGGTGCATTTTGCTTCTTCACCTCTGTACTGGAGCGATGGGGTTAATGTAGCTACCAGTGGAAGCGAATAGCCCACAAATTACCAATTGTAGCTGTAAAGTAATCACAAATACACTGTATGACATACTGTTATCTATAAAAACAGTAAAGTACAGATAGAAAGGGGTTTCTACTGTTGTTTTAGGTATGCTCACGTACTCCTGTCCACTTGTGACCAAACTATCACATTAATTCTCTCCTGTGATGCTCAGGCTGCTGGTAATGAGGGGGGAGTGTCTCTGCTCCTGTTGTCTATGGGGGGAACAGGGGGGGATAATGAGAAACGCATGGTTTGGGGTGCACTTGCTGGAGTGCGGCTTAATTACCAGCACTGAATAGACTCCTGACAATCTCCTCTAGTGGGGAGATTCTTTTCTGCAGAGAATGGGGGCACCCCAGGCCCGCAGTGGGCCAAAGTAGCCTGGACACAATTGCTGGTTGCCTGGGCGATGGCTGGCTTTAGAGGTGCTGGAGCTGGAAGCCGGTGTGGCCGTCTGGGACAACACAGCGGCTCCTGGGAGATGGCAGCCTGCGGAGAAACACGCAGACGCTCCAAACCTGCACCAGCACCTGCCCGCAGCACGGCAAGCCTCGGCACGCACTCCAGCAGCCGCAGGTGGGGCCCACTGAGTTACTGTGCCGTGTCACAGGCCGCTGTTCCGCTAACAAACGGGGTAAGTGATAGGCATGAAGCGCACATTAGTTTGCAAATGAGAATGGCAGGGGCGATGCAGGCTACTCAATGTCAGCCGAGGCCTTTTGTGTTGAGTATAAACTTTATATATGTGCGTGAGTAGGCTTAGCACTGTGGGGTGACCAAGGGGTCAGAGCAACACTTAAAGGGCCCATATCATGAAAAAACAAGCTATACTTGCTTTTTTATAAATGCGGGTTTGATACAGTGTGTAAAGTTGTAAAAGTTTCAAAACATCCCGTTCGTGCTCCAGTCCATATATGGAAACTAAGGTGCTCGTTTTGAATTCATCATTTTTGTGATGTCATAAAAACCAAGGGATTTGGTTTTACATCCACCTATCCAACCCCGCCCATTCATGCTGAAGTTATAAGGATTGTTTCACCTCGAATTGCTTTAATGAAGCACAGTACAGACAGCCAATCACAATAGAAATCATTCACGTATGTCTGTAAAGCAAGAGTTTGGAAATTGTAAAAAAGTGTAAAAATGAATTACAACTGTTTTTGGTTCAGAAACCTCAGGGAAAAAATAATGAATACAGCAAAAGGACATAGCATATGGACTCTTTAAGCATCCCAGTTCAGAAAGGTTAGTCTTTGCTTATAGTACATGTGAGATGTTTTACAGGGCCTATATAAAGGAAAGCCAAATTTTCCTCAAAAGCTGAAAAGTTTGATGTAAGTTTCAAAATGTAACATTCGCCAAAAACAGCTCATTTTGAATTAATCATTATTTTTGATGTCATAAAAACCAAAGCATTTACATATATGCGCCTATTCAGCGTACAGCAGTTTGGCCCCGCTCATTCACGCTACAGTTATAATGAGAGTTTCAGCCCAGGCTGCTTTAAGAGTAAGGCACGATACAGGGCAGCCAACCAGAACAGAGCTCAATTTGCATATTTCAATCTTAAAGGCATGGTAACGAAAGCAGCATGTTTAATTTTCAGGGTAAAGAAAGGTTGGAAAGTAGTCATGTAAAAGTGAATCATTAATGTTTTCAGTACACAAACCAACACCAACATCATCAGTGGACCTGAAAAAAGTATAGAATACAAGACAAATGTAGGAAACGGGCCCTTTAAGGATGCACGGCATCTCTGGGCCATTCAGAAAGATGTAAGAGTCTCTCTTCACTCTACATGTAGGATGTTTTAAATTGTGCCACACTGTTATGTTTCTCCTTTGAAGGTCCTTCGTTCCATGAGCTCCACGGAAGCTCCATACAGAGCCCTCAAGAAACAGGTATGTGCTGTGAAAAAGTGTTTGCCCCTTTCCCGATTTCCTTTAGCATTACATGTTAGTGACCTGCTCCAGGTCTGTAGTGCAGTTCTGCAAAGAGGACTGGGCTCCAATTTCTCCACGACAGCGTGAAAGGCTGATATTTTAAATTACAGCTGCGTTTACTTCTTCATACGAGTGAGTGACTTGTTGGATGGCTTTGCTCTTTAGTCAAGTCAAGTCAAATTTATTTGTATAGCGCTTTTTACAACTGATGTTGTCACAAAGCAGCTTCACAGAAATCCATTAAGGACAAAGTTTTAACATGAAATGTAAATCCTTCATCTTTAAATGAATAAAAATATTAATTTCAAAAATCTCTCTATGCCTCATATTACATTTTGTTTTAAGATATAAAAGTGTTCACTGTGACAAATATGAAGTAGGGTGGGGGCAAATACTTTTTCACACCATTGTATTTGTACATAAGAACAATATTTTGATATGCAAGAGCTCTTGTTACTGTGATTATTTAAAAAAAATGATTTTTTTATTATATATTATTATATATTATCATAACCTTTTAATTGCTGACTTGAAATTTTCTTGTAATACCTGAACCAAGGTAAAACTTCCATATACATCTTGTAATCAGTGATTAAAAGATGATTTTTTTTCCATGTCATTGTGAATAATCGTCCTAATTTTGCCGCCTTCTCTTAATGTTTTCTAGTCCTGGGTTCATTTTTGGAATCTCCAGCTCATCAGCGCAAAGCACCTGACTGATTGTTCATCGCTAATCAACAGCTTAAATAAGGCCTGGCTTGATTAGCATAACGAGTGCCATCACTCCTCCTTGTCCGGTGACCTTCACAGGAAGGTCAGATCTCGGCCTTCATCTCCGATAACTCCTCACAGGCGGCCTCTG